AGCCATTTCAAGCTTCAGACACTTCAGACATTTGTAGCCTTTATTTCTTTAGTCTTTGAAAGGGCTTTTTAAATGTTAACTGCCAGGATAGAATTGCTTTCCTATACTGATGTTCCAGGCTTCATTTCCTTTGTAGTTTTGAGTTCTTCCTCACCCTCAAACACTACCTCCCTCCCCCAATAACCTCTATGCCAGAGTCTTTTTAAAAACAAAACAAACAACAATATTTTAAAAAGATTTCATTCATCATGAAACGTACAGGTAGACTTCTAAGATCCTATACAAAGTGGCTGCCACTTTAATAGAGAATTGAAATCTTTTGCTTTAACTCTTCTATATTTGATGATTTAATGTGTCTATTTAACATGCTTTCATTTCTAAAATAATGTCACCTGCAAAGTTACAACAGCTAAACATTGGCCCCTCGCCTTAGAAATTCAGAAATCAATCTTCCACAATAACCATCAAAATCATGTTATCTATACTCTTAAATTTTAAAAAGTAGGCTTAAATCAGTATGCACAGTGTTATCCTAGTTCAGACAAAAAAAAAAATAGATATATACCAAAAAAAAAAGTCTCAAGCCTTATATTCCATAGTCAACAGTGATTATTATTCCTGATTAGTGAGATTATAAATGTTTTTATTTCAAATTTTCTTTTTTGGACATCACCTTCAAAGATGATTCATTATTTTTGACAAAGGAAAATATTAGTTTAAAAAATAAATATTTGGGCTGGGGTTATGGCTCAGTGGTAGAGCGCTTGCTTGCATGTGTGAGGCACTGGGTTCAAGCCTTAGCACCAAGTAAATATAAATAAATAAAGTTATTATGTCCATTTACTGCTAAAAATTTTTTAAATAATAAATAAATATTTAAAAAGCAAATGTTATTTTATTATTTTTCAGAACATCATATCAGTACTTTCTAAAAATCCATATACATGTATTTAATTACTTTTATCTTCATTATATAGGTAGATATTTTAAAGTATAATTTCCAAAATTATACAATCATTATTCTCATACAAACAGAACATGAGTTAAAATATTGTGTTGAATATTTTATTTAACTTATTCAGCAATAGCCAGGCAGAATGGCAGATGCTTGTAATCCCAGCTACTCAGGAGCTGAGACCCAAGCATCAAAAAAGTTCAAGGCCAGCCTAGGAAACTTAGTGAAACTTTGTCTCAAAATATAAAATAAAAAAGGCCGAATTTAGCTCAGTGGTAAAGCAACCCTGGGTTCAATATCCAAACCCCAAAGAAAACATTGAGGAAATCAGTAAGAAATTAAAGCCAATTCATTATAGAATTTGATTTACAGAGATTTAAATCCTCTACTAGACAAAACCCGTTTGCATTGCCAAGAATAGGAATCATTTGAATTATTATGGGCAAAACCCATATGCATACTTTTCATTTTTTTAAATTTAACTTTTATCTTTAGGTAAAAGTAGTAAAAGTAAAGTAGCCTAGTAAATCAAAATAAAAGTGCAAAAGAATGGAAGAAAATATTTGCCAACTCTCAATCTGAGAGGGGGTTCTTATCCAGGATATTTAAGAAACTCTAGAAACTCAATAATATAAGGACAATAGATCCTATAGACATTTCTCAAAAGAAGGCAAACAAATGGCCAACAGGTATATGAAAATATGTTCAAAATAACAAAGCTAAATCCCTATCCCCCTTAACATCACTAATCATCAGGGTAATGCAATCAAAACCACAATGAGATATTATCTCACTCTAGTAAAAATGGCTACTATCAAAATGACAAAAGATAACAAGTGTTGACAAGGATATGGAGAAAACTGAAGATGTGGAAAAAAGGGAATCTTTGCACACTGTTGGCAGGAATGTAAATTAGTATAGCCATTATGGAAAACAGTATGGTAGTTCCTCATAAAATGAAAAATAGAACTACCACATGATCCAGTAATCACCCAACTGGGTACACACCTAAGAAAATGAAATCAGTATGTCAAAGAGACATCTGTACTCCCATGTTTTTTGCAGAACTATACATGATAGCCAAGAAATGGAAACAATCTAAGGGTACAGCAATAGATGAATGGATAATGTGGCAGATATACACTTTAGAATAATATTCAGTCATAAAAAGGAATGAAATCCTGTCATTTTTGCACTAACATGAATGGAACTAGAGATCATTATGTTAAGTAAAATGAGTTAGGTACAGAAAGATAAGTATCACATGATTGCACTCATATATGGAATATAAAATAAGTTATATCATAAAAGTTGAGAGTAGAATGGTGGTGTTACCAGAGGCTGGGGAGAGTACAGGGGAGAGGGAGAAATGGAGAGAGGCTGATCAATGGATACTAAGTTAAGGTAAGATAAGAGTAAGAAGTTTTGGTGTGCTATTACATAGTAGGTTGACTGTAAATGACCATAACAGTAAAAGAATGATTTTAAATGTTTTAACCCTAAAGAAATTTGAGGATATATGTCTAAAGAGAAAAAACACATGCTCATTTAGAATCAAAGGATCCCTGAAGAGTCCCCAGACATTCAGCATTCCCATAAAAGGTAACTGTTCCATCATTTTTGTCCATTTCAAAGTCTTTAACAAATTTTCCTGATATATTTTGCTAATAGGTAGACTGAGATCAAATCGTTACAATTAAATTTTAAATTTCTGGAAGGCAGAAAACATGGTGTTTCTTTCTTACATTCCCTTTAGAAATATTCAGTTATGTTTTCTACACTTAATGTGTATTTATCACAATATTTGAGAAAGTACAGACTTTAGACAATCACTATGTACTGTGGCAGGCATTATGCTAGAAGCTACAGAAATAAAAAATGGAGCTGGAATAGTCTCAATCCCAAGAGATAGTATTTTAATAATTCAACTTGTGACAGTATCTTCTCGTTTTTACAAAACAAAGACCATTGCTGTGTTTCTATTCCACATATTTCTTTTTTTTTTAATTTGTTCTAATTAGTTACACATGACAGCAGAATGCATTTTTTTCATTGTATACAAGTGGAGCACAAGTTTTCATTTCTCTGGTTGTACATGATGTAGATTCTCACCATTTGTGCAATTATACCTGTACCTCTGTTCCATATACTTCTATTACTGTATAATTTCATCTTTAACAATAGCTTTCTGAATACAGTAAAATCTGATCAAATGATCCAGTCTTTATTTCCTATGTTACTTTTTGGCTTGTGATTTTGCTTTATAGAAATTTGAAGACTTAGCCATCCAGGTGCCAATAATTCTGATAAGTGAATATTGCTAGTTCATTAAATCTTTTCTGGACTTTCACCAATTAGTAAAGTTAGAATTATTATGTAACTACAAACCTTATTTACAGTTCTTTCTATTTTAGAATTCTTTTTAGCAGCCTAAAGTAGCTATTCAGCCATCTCATTTTATTGGTAATATAACTGAGTTCTAAATGGCATATATTCGTTTGCCAAACCCATTGGAGGTGAACTGTAGGTCATCCTACAAAGCTCTGTAACTTAAATGTAGTATTATTCTAATTTCATTTGTAGAACATTAGTAGAATTACAGAGTTAGTGAGCAAAATATTTTAATTCTGCCACAGATCAAGCAACCACTTCTTAAAAAAAAAAAATGCTTTTTCTCCTCAGGGGTTTATTCTTATCACAGAAATAATAGATTAAGTAGCTCTCTTAGTTATAAAATGTGGCCGTGAGATCTTTTTATCATCCTACTTATTATTATGTTATTTCTATGTTTCCAACATAAAGAAAAAAGAATCTGCATCTTTGTATAAATTACTGTCTTCCACTGGGTTCAGTGATCATCTGAAATCTAGGAAAGTAATAATAGCTCTATGCAGGCAAACAAGAGTGGTTGCTGAGTTCAGAAGCTAATAGGGTTTTGTTTCACAAACTGCTCTCAGTACAGAAACTCACACCTAAATGTACTGTCGTACCTCTTACTGATTTTTGCTTTAAAAAAAGATCAATTTTTTGATCGAGATCAGAAAGCTTCATAAACTAAGGATCCTGACACAATGTTAGGTTCAGGCACGGTTAAATATTCAGACACCTTAATATTGCAGGAGTTAGTTTCCAGTATTGAAAGAAAACCTTTAGATATCAGAGCTTTTGGAGTAGGCAGTGGAGAGGGGATATGGGGTTGGGCCCACAAGTGGGTACTGGAGTTTCTTTGGGGTGATGAAATGTCTTGGGACTAGGTAGATGTGAGAGTTGCAGAAGGGTTTGAAGGTACTAAAGACCATTGGATTGTATACTTTAATATGGTTAATTTTATGTTTTGTGAAACTCACCCTAATTTTAAAAATATTTTTTAAAGAAAAAAATAAAAGAGGATTCTAGTGGACACAGACTTGGTGAAAACTTCAACAGTATAAGGACTATAGACCACAGCAAGTCAGACTGGAGCACTAAGTCTAAGGCTAACCACACAGCCTTGTGGAAAGCGGACCGGAATTCCCTCAGGTGGATCTGTTTCAATAATGGCCAGTTAACCAGCATTCAATATCAAATTGAATTCACTTCGGTCTGAGGAAAATGGCAAGATATTCGTGTGAATCTCCTAAAAGCCTCTTATGGGCAACTGACAACACATACCAGGGTGGGAATGGAAGAAGCCATTTATAAAAATGGTTTTTATCCTGGGTATTCAATTGACCTCAAGCATTACATTTAAACCTAGGTGCTTAACTATGAGGGATGCATTTGCCCGAGTGGCAACGTCTCAGTGAAATGCGAAAACCTACTAGGCCTCGACGAAGCTCTCTCTCTCTCCAAAGCTCACCACTATACCCTTCCGCGGGAAAGCTCCCTCCACAAGCCGAAGGAGGAGCCTACGAGGGCACTCCCGCCACACAGCACGAGCTGGCCGCTGTGCCTCCTGGGAATTGTAGTTTTAATCACACACTTATCTCTTATTGAGGCCAGTATGGAATGAAGCCGGAAACTACAACTCCCAGGGTGCCTCGGACCGGCGAGCGGCCGCCGCGGTGACGACTGTGGCGGAGAAGGCCCGGAGGGGCTCTGCGTTCTGGAGTGGCGCTACTTGGGCCGGTGGCAGATTGCGGGCTGCTGGTGTCGGGCTGAGGAGAACCGCGAGTGTTTTGGACATTTCGCGTCGGGATCCGCGCAACGATGAGCGCTGCCAGGGAGTCTCACCCGCACGGGGTGAAGCGTTCAGCCTCCCCAGACGACGATGTAAATAACAATGGCGGAGTGGGTGAGGGTTGAGGCCTACTGAAGGCTGGGGTAGGCCGGGAAGGGTGGACGAAGGGGGAAGAAGCGCCTGAAGTGGCTCTGAGGGGGAAGGCCAATGGGGGGAATCACGAATAACTGGGAAGTGTCTGCCTTTCTTGATAAGGATCGGAAGGTTTGAAGAGGGCCACATGCTGAGAGCCAGGTACCTGCGTAGAAAGGGCGATTGAGGAAGGAAATCCTGATACGGTCGAGAAGTGAAAGAGCTTAGTCAAGGGATCGTCATTTGCGTGTTGGATGGTCGATGAAGCTGATTTCATTGGCCTTTCTATTCACCATAGAGACGGCAAAACCGTCCCTGTTGTTAGGTTTGAAATGTTCCTATGATAATGGCGAAATGTTCGTGCACATTTGAACACTTTCTCCGACCTGGAGTAATTTTGCAGTCTACTGTTGATGGTTATCTTTAATGTACTCGTAAAAGTGAACAGCTGCATTGAACCGAAAAAATTGTACCAGGGACGTAATTTGGTACCGATATTTGGTAATGTGGTGAGGTCTAAGACAGTGAGACCCAGAAGCCCATTTTGATAGCATACCTTGTTCTTTCTTCGCCTTACCCCCAAACCTTTTCCTTATCAGTTTAAGTAACAAAAATGATAATTCTGTAAAGTAACCCATTAAATATTGACTTCTAAGCTAGGTCTTGGGAATTAAAAGATGTAAGTGTGGTGCTTACGTTAAGCTCTTGCATATTTGGCCTAGCTCTAGCGCAATGTGATGGAAACTGCAGATAACCAGTACTTGTAAAAAATTGTCCTTCATAGAATGAATAAAGGCCTTGGGAACACTGATAGGAAAATTATTGGGAAGGGGTCATGGAGAGGTCATCTTTAAAGACCATGGAAGGACATTTTTTTTTTCCTCCAGTTATTGTTTAAAGCACTGTCAATTTCTGAATGTGTAGTTATTTTCAGTAATGCAGTTAAGTGCCTTTCACAATATCTTTGAACCACACTGGCTCGATACTATTTTGTGCTCAATGAGATGGTGCTAAGACCCACCTCTCTATGGGTGGAAGGTGGGATGTGGACACAAATAGTAAGAATCTTTAAGGAAATTTATTTTTAGCTCTGCAGAAAGATTAGTAATCATTGGAGATTTGGGAATAATGGTTATACACATGCTTAGGTTTATTCATATCCCCTATTGTCCCTGCAACTGACATTGAGATTTTTTTTCTTGTTAATATTGTAATTAAATATTTGTCATCAGTTTGTACAGGTCTTTTTAACTAACTTGGCTGTGATTTTAAAGGTTACTACATTGTTTTTCTCCTCATATTTAACTGTGACTCAATTGCTAGGATATCAGATTTCCTAAATTCAGAAATAAACAGTCTTTTAAACTTGACCAAAAAACTGCAGGTAATGTTATGTATTTAGCAGAAAGTTAAAGGGATATTTATTGAGTCTCTACAGCTTCTGATAAGATCAATTTAAACTAGAAGATTTTTAATACCATTTCCGATCCTATAAGCATCCCTATCTCAAAAAAGAAAAAGGACTAGGGTCCTAGCTCAGTGGTAAATAGCCCCTGGGTTCAAACCTCAGTACCCTCCCCTGTCCAAAAAAGGAGATGGTTATGGTTCAAGATTAGGATTTGGGGGCTGGGGTTGTAGCTTGCCTGTAGAGCATTTGCCTGGCATTCGTGAGGCCCTGGGTTCGATCCTCAGCAACTAAAAAAAAAAAAAAAAAAAAAAAAAATTAGGATTTGGAAGCAACAAGTAAAGTATTATTCTAAAAATGATTATGTTGCTAATGTTACAGTACAGTGACCTGTACCTCTTTCATGAGATTTTTATTATTTTTACTGGTAATTGGGAGTTATCCTTAAGTACTTGTTTTAAAAATATTTGTTAAATCATATATTTTTAAACTAGACTTCAAAACTGTAGAAAATCAATTATAATTTGTAGTTGGTCAGCAGTTTCTAATGAGCAGCTACTTCTTGTAAAAAATAAGTCTTTTTGCCCACCGATGTCACATAACTGGGAGTAATAGAACATTTAAGAGATATTAAAATAGATATTAAATCAGACTACAACTCTAGGAAAATGCTAACAGTGTAGAGTCACTAAGATATATATATTGAGGAAAATTGACTGCATAGTAAAGAATATTAAGGATGATGGCAACTTAAAGGTTCCATCAGTTTGGTTGGAATGGAGACATGAAAACTACTTATAGGGAGTGGGGAGGTTCATTTGAGTAACTGGTGGAGAACCTCTAGAAATGTTATTAGACATTAATTACAGAACATTTCTACTTTAGACTATAACTCAATTAGAGTGATCATGTGCTTTTCCAAATGTAGCACTTCAGCAAGGTACTTGTTAAACTTTGAAAGAAAGAACTGGAAAACTTAATGATATTATCTTTAAATTAGGATTAGTTGTTGTAGGTAATAGGGTTATTTATGTAAAAACACTGTAAAGGTGTTGGCTTTTGGGGGGGAATGTTGGTGCTAGGCATTGAACCCAGGACCTCAGGCATGCTAAGCACCACTTACTGCAGAGCTACAGCCCCAACCTTTGTTTGCTCTTTCAGTAGAAGTAGAAGATCAGAAAAGTTGGTTTTTAAACCATTGTTTTAACTTAATTCTCTACATTTTGTTCATAGACTACCTTCAATGTGCAGTTTAATTTGGTCATGTACAGTATGGTGTGAAAAAAGCAGAGGACTTAGGGCCAGAGAACTGAAACAAATCACCTGGCTCTCTGAACCTCAGTGTCCTTATTTGTTAAATGAACTGTTATGAGGGGATTTTGAGAGACTGTAAGTGAAAATATAATCATAGATTATAAAACTTTCCAGGTTGAGTTTCCCTTGTGCTTAGGGCCAGATTTTTTTTGAGTTTGAAATATATACGTATGTATATGTAAATATGTATGTATGTGTATCTTGGGGATAGGCCCCACATTTAAATAGGAAATTAATTTGTTTCATGTGCATCTTATAGCCTGAAGGTAATTTTATACAATATTTTTAGGTGCTCCTACATTTTGATTGTGATCTGAACAGAAGATCAGATGTGGAACTTTCCACTTGTGGTGTCATGTTAGTGATCAAAATGTTTTGGAATTTTAGAGCTTTTCAGATTAAGGATGCTCAAGCTGTATGCAGTTCTTAGGTGTTATATTTTTAAGACAGAGTCTTAAAAGAGGTCTGTTTTTATAGATCAGGAATTAAAACGAAATTAAATTTTACATCTAGGCTCACAGAGTAAATGATATAATGCAACTGAAATCCAAAGCATCATTAGTACTTTTTTAAAAAGTTTTAAACCATATTGAACCAGAAATAGTTAAGACCAAATGACCTATAAAAAGATATGAGCAGTCAGATGGAAAGAAGTAGAGATTTGTAACTTAGGTAGCCAAAATTATGAGAACATGTAATCCCTTCCACCAGAAAGAATTTAGAAGAACCACAAGTGGGTCCAGTGTGTTACAAATGCTTTAACCCTAATATGCCCAGAAGTAATTCTCATTGTTTTTATATTCTTTTACACTTTTATGAATAATTTTCAGAAGAAAGAATAAAGAGGTAGTGAAAGGGGCCCTATTCAAAATTTTAATACAAATTTAACAATAGCAAACCTAAATTTCTCTTCTATGTTTTTCTGATTTTTAAAATTTTTTTTTTCAGTTGTTCATGGACTTTTATTTTATTCATTTATTTATATGCGATGCTGAGAATTGAACCCAGTGCCTCACACATGCTAGTCAAGTACTCTACCACTGAGCCACAACCCCAGCCCCATTTTTCTGATTTTAATAGTGTATATACACAAGAGTTCACATTCTCTGAATACAGCTAATTGCTCATCAGCTGTTGTGTGTGAACCTGGAACATACAATTTAAGATTTAATGTTTATTTCTAAAAGCTTTTAGCTTTATCCTTACTTCTCATTCTTTTATTGGCAACATCCATCTAATAACACTTGAATTTTTTTGAAATTTTTGATTACTTAAAATTCTGTTGAGCAGGGGTTTATTGTCTTTGCTCCTTAATTACAGAACATTTCTACTTTAGACTATAACTCAATTAGAGTGATCAGTGGATGGCTTTATTTCTAAATCTTTTCTTCCATTCACATTTGTATATACACCTACATTCAGCCTTTGTCTACTTACAAACACAACCAATTAAATTTTGGTCCACAAACATCATAAAAGATTAAATAAAGATCACACATCCTTTTTGAAAAATGAGATGATCCAAACTCTTATTGCAGAATATGGCAAGGTAAAGTTCTTCCTGTTGAATGACCCTCTGGATGCGAGTACCATTATTTCTTCATTTGTCCTTGTTTTGTTGTTGCTGTTTTTCTTTGTCTCACATCTCTTGATTTGGAGAACAAAGTCTAGTATTTCATCAACAAAGAACTCATAGTCTTGAGATTTTTGCACATAGTGAATTTCATCTTCATTGTTAGTTTATAGTTGTATTGCCTATCATTTTGCATTTGCCTGTATTTTGTTTATTTATTTATTTTTTGTTCTAATCATGGTAAAATGCCTTCTGTCAGTTTTCTTCTCCTTGCCATTATGGGTGGAAGAGGAACAATTCTGAATTCTCATCTGAGTACAATGAATTCTAAAAGCAGACTACAGAGACATGATGACTTCTTCAAAGATGATGATGCAGTACTTTGGACACAATGAGAAAAGCCTTCCACAATTATTCTTGTTTCTTCTTATTATTTAAGTCATTTTAACTTTGGGGGGAATAATTGATGAATTGCAATAAAATGATTCTTAACCTTAATTTTAAGATAAAGGGAAAAACAGGGCTGGGGCTGAGGCTTAGTGGTAGAGCACTTACCTGGCATGTGTGAAGCACTGGGTTTGATTCTCAGCACCACGTATAAATAAATAAAGGTCTATCAACAACTAAAAAAAAAAAAAAAAATTTCACAGAGGGAAAATTTATCTTTAAAAAAGGGGGGGGGGGAACAGTCATTAGAATTCCATGATATGTTTTAGGTTTATAAAATGATTTAGTGGGCCCATTGATAATGCAAGGTAGAATTAGTTTTTAGTCTGTTCTTTTAAAAAAAGAAGTATATTTTCTTTGTTCTTCAGAAAATCTTAAAGAATAAAAGTGATAACATCTCAATTCTAACTAATAATAACTGCTCAAAAGAAACTGAAATTAAAATTAGGTCCAGTGAATCCTGATGGTATGCTATCATTAGCATATCACTAAAGCCAGAATTTTTAAACTAAAAATTGTTGCAGCCTTTTGGGTTCAAAATACTAGATGCTCTAAGCCCCTTTAGGGTTCTAGGGAAGTGGGTATCAAATGTGATCTTCCCATCAAAGGCATTACTTGAGAATTTGTTAGAAATTCCCTAGAGGGTGGGGACATAGCTCAGTAGTAGAGTGCTTGCCTAGCATGCACAAGGCTCAGGGTTCATTCCCCAGTACCTCAGGAAGAAAGAAATTCCCTACCCCAGACTTACTGAATCTGAAACTGAGGGTATAGAACAGCAATCTCTTTTAACAAGTCCTTTGGGTGATTCTGATATATGTAAACTTTTGAAACTGAGAGCTCCGGCTGCAAAAGAAGAATTCAGCTCAGATGAAATTAAAAAGGAGCATATTTAAATTCAAATGTGACACATGTCCTTAACTTTCCAAGCATGAAAGACTATAGCTGTTTATAGTTAAAATCGACGGCGGGGGAAACTTAGAGACTTTAAATTTTTTAATTCTTCTTTTTATGCTAGAAAAGTAATCAACTAATTTCTTTTCTAGCTTGGATCTAGCAATTGGGAGGCAGCAGACTTGGGCAATGAAGAGAGAAAACAAAAATTCTTGAGACTTATGGGTGCAGGCAAAGTAAGTATCACATGGTATGCCTTTTTTATCTTTTCTGTGAAAATGCCTTTTTTTTTTTTTTTTTGGTATATGTTAAGTAAGAAGGACTGAATACACTTTGTTCCCATTTACCTGTTTTGCATGATTACTTTTGGCTTCGGAAAAGAAACCCAGCCTAATCAAGCACTTAAAATTTATAATATTTCTGAAACCACTTCCAGAATTCTCAGTGCTTCTCGCAATATGGTTGGAGACTTCATAGAGAAAATGTTGTTTTCAGGAGATTCAAGCCAGAGGAGAAAGGAAATGTAAAAGTTTATGATTTGTTATCTGTTGGCCTGATGGTTTTAACAGAAGGTATTTCTGAACAGGTTATCTGGAACCTATGTGAAAAGTCTTTTATATTTCATAGCTGTCTCCAACTAGTGGTAGTAGCCACAACATTTTACTTGTTTAGTTTTGTGGGGTTTTTTTGTTTTGTTTTGTTTTGTTTTTGCTTATGTGTACAGTATTGAGGATTGACAGGCACTACGCTGTACCACTGAGGTACCTTCCAGCTAATTTTTTAAAATTTTATTTTGTGACAGAATTTCAATAAAGTTGCTGAGACTAGCCTTAATCTTGAGGTCTTCCTGCCTCAGCCACCTCAGTAGCGTGGATTACAGGTGTACACCATTGCCCCAAACAAGATGTTCAATATATTTTATTCAGTTTAATGAACATAATAGAAGGTATAAAATATGGATACCAAGAAAATGACACCTATTAAAAAGCCTTTTTTTTCCTAGCAATATATTTTTACGCGTAAATACCGTGGTCTCTAAACATTTGTTTTTTATAAGCAGGTAAACTAACTTTTATAATATTTATAGTTTGTAGTCTTCCTACAAACTAAATTTGAAAGAAATAGAAAAACATTTTTTTTCTTTTTAAGGTACCTTAAATGAAATTCAGCCCTCATTTTGTCATACAAAAGAATACATTCATGTATTTTACCAATAATTATTGATTACCCACTACCTGCTAGGCTCTGTATTAGATTCTGTGGGTCACAAATCAATAAGACATGTTTGGAGTCATCATATAATAGAGGAAACTGGATAATAATAACAGTACAGAATTATAATTGCCATGAGAGAGCCATACACATACTGATCTATATCTGAAAGGTTGAAAAGGAGTAAGCCAGACTGCATCAGTTGTTTTGGGGATAGGGAGAAGTCATGTAAAACATGAAGACCTATATATAGGAAGAATTTATGTAATATCTCATAACTCCATATTTCCCAGTAATTTTTAGCTTGTCATATAATCTGTAGCTTGAGTTTCTCTTGTTTCATGCAAATAAAACCTTTGTTATGATTTATAAAGTAAGTAATAGATTAGGGGGCTCTCTTACCATGAGATATTCCTGGGGCATTAGAAAATGGTGGAAAAGTTAACTCTTCTGGTACTTAGAACATCGTAACGTAAAATTTTGAAAATTTAGCTATTAGTAAATAGGCTCTTTATCATACATTAAATTCTTTGTTGTAGCAGCTAGGAATGCAGCCTAGTGGTAAGTCACATATTCAGCCTGTGCAAGGCCCAGGGTTCAATCCTCAACACCAAAACACAAAATAACACAAAAAGTTTTTTGCTGTAGAAGCCAAGATTGTATTCCTGGTCTTCATATGAACTGTTTAGATATTCTGTTTTATGGCTACCTAATACATTCTTCATAGTAGCCAGCTAGCATGAACACTCTTTTGGTCATAGGAAGAACCAGCTGATAAAGTATGAACAGATGAGTACGATACTGTCATCATCCTAGAATAAGTTGATGCCATTATATTTATATTCAAACCTGTCAATGGGGTATCTGTTTTGCAATCTACAGCAGCAGCACATTAAATCACTGATTTGTTTAAATGTAGATGGCATATAAAGTAATAGTGTTAATGCCTGAAGCTTTTTAGTGTTATCATCTTTTTGTGTAAATATGTCTTGCCATTGTTTCACAATAGGAAGACTCCTTACTATATCTTCACAGAAGATTGGTTTGAGATTGCTTTACAAACTTCCCTTTAATCATTTATTATATGTATTTCAGTGAATAATTTATTTTTTGATCTTATGAAACTAAATATAAACCACAGTAGATTGGATTGAGATTAAATCTATAACTTTGAATCAGATTGTTTTTATACTTTCTAGTATTAGTATTAGATTGTTTTAGATTCTGTTCTTTTTTGACGGGTTGAGATTAGGAGTTTCTTACAGCCTAATAGCAAAGAGTTTTTTGTGATATATTGTAAACAGTAATGATTATTTTAATTTTTTGTATTTAAAAAATCTGTTACTTTGTACATTCTAAGTCTGTTCATTGTTTCATATTTCTTTACCTAGATAGACTCTGCTCTCTTACAATGAGATATTCCTGGGGCATCAGAAATGGTGGAAAAGTTAAATCTACTCATTTACTGGACTTTTAAGACTGAATTTTCTAGTTATCTATCCATGTCATTTAAATTTTCAACCTGATCTCTACTTTATACTCTTTCCCCTTATTTTGCTCTGCTTTATTTTAATGACACTACCTTCTCTACTGCGATTTGCTATTGATTACATTTGTCCATCTCCCTTACCCATCCCTGTCATTGCCAGAATGTAAGTTGCATAAAGGCAGAGTTGTGAATTTATTCCTTTGGCTCTACTATATCCCAGAAGCCTGGATTAGTTTTCATTACATAATGGACATTCAGTAATTATGCTAAATTAGAAGACTCAAATTCTAATGTATTTGCTACTTTCTTATAGAAAGAACATACTGGTCGTCTTGTCATAGGAGATCATAAATCAACATCTCACTTTCGAACAGGTAAGAAAGTCAAATAATTAGAATGGAGGTGCTAAATTTGGTGTATGAAACAATTGTACATACTATTAACCTCTGTACATAGTTCTGTTAAAATTGAAATAGTAGAATTGCAAATGTATGTATATTACATGAAAACATGTCCCCTGTATCATGTAAAGTATAAAATATGGGTTTTGATTTAAAAGATAAGAGTACATATCATATATATAAATAGTCTAACCAAGAAATTAACCTTTTTCTGTTTTCATTTTTACTAATTAAGAACATATATTTTACTTGTATTGAGATTTTTATACCTAATCTTGCCAACTGTGATATGTATAGAATTCTTTTTCATTGTATCAGTTGCTTACCATATAATGTATAGTTGGCATATTTTACTGCTTTTGAGCTTATTTACTAAGTTCTGTCCTGAAGTCTTTGAAGAATATACATTAATTGCAGTCTGAAGAAATAAACTTTTTTTTTCTTTTTTACTACTGAGGGAAACTTAATAAAAACTGAATTTGAATTTAGCTTGTTGAAAAGTAAAATTTTCAACTGTTTAAAATTGATCCTATTCTCCATTGGATCAATTTGTCTCTCATTGGATCATTGTCTCCATGGACATTATTAACAATGCATCATAACCTAGATTGAACTCAATTTTTTAAATTATTTAAATTAATTTTATAGGTCTAATATATAGCACATTAGAAATTAATGGGTCTTTCATTTTTCTGATAAACAGTTATATCAAATTGATTTACTTTGCTACATAAGGCAAAAAAAATGAGCTTTGCAGAAAGAAAAAATATTTTAACTGCTGCATTTACTCTTAAAACTGGGAACTTAATGAATAAAAACAATGCAGAGCCCTACCATTTGAAGAAAACCTGAAATTCCTCTTATATTGATAAAACATGGCAAAGGAAACGCCAGTTATATTGGTAACATTCCCTTTCTTGGGCGGTAAGTTTGTTTGTAGAGTTGTTTAGTGTCCTGCTGCATAAATTAATTACAACAGAATTATATAAAATAAATATACAAATGTCACATAATAATTTTTAAGTTTATGTTGCTTCAGTTAGCTGATAAGCAAAGACAGGCATAAAGGAGAACCATTCAGAGGTCATTTTTATATATTCATTCTCTGAATATAATTGTTTGCCTTTTAACTTTCTTTCCAAAAATAGATGGGATGCTTTTGTTTGTTGGAGATTTTTGTTTTGTTTTGTTTTGTTTTAGGTGACTTAGAGAAAACTTTCAGAATAGTCATTATATACTTCTGTAATTCAGAGGGCTAATTACTAATAACTAATCATAAATACATCTTTCAGTTATAGAAACCAATCCACAAAATTCATTGTAAAATTAGTCACAGAGTATTCAGCCCTGAATATAATGGCATCTGTATTATGGGGTTTTTTTTTGTAATCAGATGTTTTTATTAATTTGACTGAAACATAACCAAAGTACAATGGACATGCAGGGGAAGAAGACAAGAAAATTAATGAAGAACTGGAGTCTCAATATCAACAAAGTATGGACAGTAAATTATCAGGAAGATATCGACGACATTGTGGACTTGGCTTCAGTGAGGTAGTGATTAACTTGTTTTCATTGATTGGGAAGATAATTTCAATTTGATATCATTTGTTTCTGTTGGATTACACTAGCAACCAAGTATCCTAATGGAGATAGCTTTCTTTGTACAGATATTTAAAATATTATTACCCAACCATGTCTTTCTAGAGATAATCAGATATTTTTTAACACTTTAAATGTATTTTCCAATAGTGGCTTAAACATACAAGTTAGACCAAATATTTTATATAAGGGTTTACAAGAGTTCTTTCTCAATTGTTGCTTAGGTGAGCTCTTTTTTGTTATGAGTTAATTTATTATGAGTTAATATATAACTGGTTGTTCCACAGAATATAACATGTAAATATATGTATGCATAATATAATATGCAAAACATTGGTAACTGATTTCCACATAAACATCAATGGTTAATTTACCTTACTAAGAGTCTTTCCCAGTTTTTATGCTGCCTATCCCAGTTTTGATGCTGGTTTTACAAAGAACCTCTTAATTGATGTTTTAGGTAGAAGATCATGATGGAGAAGGTGATGTGGCTGGGGATGATGATGATGATGATGATTCACCTGATCCTGAAAGTCCAGATGATTCTGAAAGTGACTCAGAATCAGAAAAAGAAGAATCTGCTGAAGAACTCCAAGCTACTGAGCACCCTGATGAAGTGGAAGATCCCAAAAACAAAAAAGATGCAAAAAGCAATTATAAAATGATGTTTGTTAAATCCAGTGGTTCATAACTCCCAAACACTTAGTCTTTGTATTAAAAGTAAGCCTTATTGTTATAATGCACAGTGGAGGACTGCTTATAGAGCACAGACCTTTGTATTATAATTTTTAAAAAGGCCCTTTTAAATAATTACAAAGTGTTTGCTTTCAAATGCCATTCGTTACACTTTTATGGGCATGACTATAACCATTTTGTAAAGAGTAAGAGTTGTATAAAATAAATAAATACAGTACTCAACTTCCTTTCATATTAGCATCATCAGCCCTTTAACCTCACCTTTTACCCCTTCTGATGCATTGTGGGGAAGACACTTTTGTGTTTGGTAGCTATTTCATCCTTGTTTTTGTTCCTTCATATTTTTCTCTTATAAAAATTTGATACTGTGATGTGTTCATGAAAAATATTCCTTAACTAATAGTTTGTTAAAGTAGAATTATTCATCATGGATATTTCTGCTGCCAATCACAATCTAAATTATTGTTGGCAAAAGATTAGCTATTTAGTTTACTCTTACCGATTCAGTTCTGCTCTTTTGGACCAAAACAACATGAGAGCAAGTACATTAATCAAAGTCCCAAGTTTTCAGTTCTATATAGGATGATGGGACATATTGGGTTAACATCTGTTGGGTGGGAATTCAGCTGACATACATTTGGAATGTATAATCCCAGCCTTTATAATAATTTGGATTACATTGTATGTTGGGTTTTTGATAAAATTTGGCTAAATTTTTACAAATGAAATTATTTCTCTGATCATTTAGTCCTATCTATTTAGAAATATGTTAAACTGGATTTTTTTTTTTTTAAGCAACATGTGACCAAAGTTCATTTTTTTTCTCCTTAAGGTCTAAATAAAGAGAAAGCAGTTTCCCATATTTGGTTGTGATACCTTTGTCCTCATTGTCTAAAAATGAGGAACGGGCTTATTGACTAAGAAGCTGAAACAAGAAATTCTCTTCATTTTATCCCAGTGCTGTTACTTGATTGTCTAATTACTAAAAGAGGTATTAGTTTCTAATTTTATTGATTCTGTTGGAGTGAGATTAGAATAATCTGTGGCTATGTGGTTGATTTGTACAATGAATTAACATGTGTTATGGGTTAGTCAGTGGATCTGAATAATTGTTTCCAAGTAACAGGTTCAAAGATGTGAGCCAAACCTGTTTGTGAAAGCTAAAAATTTTATATCTAGTTAACTTAAGTATGTGTTTGATGCGTTTTCCCCCCAAGTACTCTATCATTTTGTAATTTAGAATGTGCTAGAGTGCAGCAACTAAAACAGGTGATTTCCAGTTATAGACTGTGTATTGCAATATTTTTCATATATCTGGCTCCTAAAGTATGTTTTTTTGTTTGCTTTATACTTTTTTTAACTTCTCGTGTTGTTTGAAAATAGGTGCCACCCTACTATTTAAAATAATGAATTTAAGTGACAGTCAATATGTATGACATTTAACATACTTGGTTTGTAGAAGTTTGGCTTTATTCAGCTATTTTAATAAGAATGAGAGAGACCTGTGTTATGTTCTAAAAAGTGAGCATTTTCATTAATTCTTGGTTTAAACATGCTGGGTTGCTTATGAGTCTTGGTTCTGATGTAAACAGAAGCATCTTCTGAAATAATGACACTGGAAAATCATTTTCATATTTCTTCATCTCCACAGAGAATTCTGATTTCAGCTCATGTGTTATTGGGTACTAACAATTCAGGGTTAGGGTAAATTTAGGTCTGTTGGTTCATGAGTCCTGGCAGTACATTAAACATAATAGCTGTCTTTTTAAAAGCATAAACATCATGGATTTTTTTTTAACTCAGATTGGAAGAAATATATTAAAAGAAGATGGATGTTATGTAATCTTTCTACCTCTACTAAAGAAAAAAAAAAATCAGGAGGGAAAACATTACTTTTGTACAGTGAAACACTATTGAAAAGTTTCAAATGGGCAACTTTTTCCATGTCATGGATAATTTCATACCTGAAATGCACTTCTCCCAAATTTGCCTATCAAATATTTACATGTACCAATAATCTAATAAGCCTTTTTATTGAAAATGCTTTCAATAATAGATTCCAATGTCATTTGTTATTAGGGAAAAGTTTCAAATATTTTCAAAATCTGGGAAAACAACGTACAGAAAAAACCTGGGAATGATTAAGGTATAATTTGAAAACAGGTCACATTCAGCTCTATTCTTTACACCTGTTCATGTCAAGTCAATTCTCCCTAAGGGTTTAAAAATCTTTATTCTGAAACTTATGGCCCACCCCCCTGCCCTATACACTTCATGTGTCCTTGGCTCTGTAGTACAGATTCTTATGTAGAAATTCCCTAATCCTCTACCTTGGTGTTAAACTAACCTCTAGCCTGACTTCATGTCTGGGTCTCCATTCCTCATAAGTAAATTGAGGATAGCAGTGTGACCACCTTCTATAGTTAATGCAAGAATTAGATAAAACAAGTAAAAAGTTGTGTGCACAAGTAGGTAATGTGATTAATAAATGCAAGCAACTGTAAAATCCTTTGTATCTTATGAACCCAGTACTTTTGATGTCTTGAGTCTTAGACCTCTTCTTTAACCTATTAGTGTTTGTTTTGTGGTCTGAAGATCAAATCCACAGTCTTGTGCATGCTAAACAAGCAGTCCACTACTGAGCCAGCCACATCCCCAGACCACTATTGTTTGTTTTTGTCAGCATTTGCAGGTGTTTTACATGTTTTTTAGAAGTTTGCTCCCAGGTACCACACCATGTGCTTCAGTCTGATCCTCTCCACCTTTTGTATACAATTTTAATATCTTGTTTCTCTTACTATCTAGACTTCCATCCCCTCCCTCAGTCCACTCCAATGGGACTTCTACCCACCTTTGACACACCACATTGAAAAATTTTCATCAAATCAAAAATTCTTGTTTTCCTAAAACTTTTCTTGACTCAGCAGTTCTTGCCATTGTTAACAGTCTTCTCTGGAATATTCATACTCCCACTGTATATGAAGGGGTTCAACACAATTTCCCAGTCCTGTGCATTTACATGTACTTGTGCTAAAATTACTTCCTTTGAAACCAGTCTTTCACTGGAGAAAGGCAACTTAATTGTTTAATAGTCCCAAGGAGCACAATCTTTTAAGGGTCCAAAGGAACAATTTGAAACATTTTTATTGAGGCTTGAGTGACTCTGGCAATTCAGATGGTGCTATGGTTTGAATGTCCCCTCCAAAACAGATTTTTTTTTTTTTTTTTTTTTTAAATAAGTGCCTTCATGAATTCATTGACTGTTACGGGATGAAGTTACGGGATCAAGAGAGGAGGTGTTGGCTGGGTTTGTAGCTCACTGGTAGAGCCCTTGCCTAGTATGCATGAGGCACTTGGTTCAATTACCAGTACTACGTGCAAAATAAAGGTATTGTGTCCACCTACAACTAAAAATATTTTTTGTTTTTTTCACACATTTTCTTAACCCTTCCACTCTTCTACCACCAACAACAGCACAGAGGTCCTCAGCAATTGCTGGCACTAATGTTCTGGCACTTGTATCTTGGATTGCCCAGCCTCCAGAAGTGTAAGAAGTAAACTTGGAGATCTATAACAAGGTCTTGCACACACTAGACACACTACCACTGAGTTAAGCCCCCCGCCCCCCCCCCCCCTTTAAACAGTCCCCATTTCTCAAGTTGACCTCAAACTTGGCTCAGGTGATTTCCTGCCTCAGCCTCCTAAGTACCTGGGAGTACCTGGGAACTGCAGGCACTCCACCACATCTAGCTAAAAATGACTTTCCACCCCACCCCAGTGCTGGGTTTTAAACCTGTGTCCTCACATGCTGAGCAAGTGCTCTACTGCTGACCTACATCCTCAGTTGTCTTTTCATCATAAATTACCCAGTCTAAGGTATTGCTACAGCTAGAAAGCAGATTAACAGATCGTTTCCAGTTATGCACTCAGTGAAACCGGTAAAGAACTGATAGGTTTATTATAAATATTGATGAAAGATCACTGATTTTTTTTTTTTAACCTAAATTTTAAGTTAAGATTGAGGGGCTGGGGATGTAGCTCATTGGCAGAGTGCTTGCCTAGCACATGCGAGGCACTGGGTTTGATCCTTAGCACCAAATAAAAATAAAGGCATTCTGTTCATCTACAATTTTTTTTTTTAAGTTTCTAAAAGTCTATCATTGACCACTTTTTCATATGAGAAAGATTTCTCAGTCCTTTTGTTTCTAGAAATAGCAATTTTCTCTTACAGGAACTTGAGTTACATACATGCTGCACCAACTATCTCCATGTCACTGTTGTCATTCCTATCTTCTATTCCTCTTGTGATTTGAGCACTGTATTCTGTCATTCCAATTTAATTTTCATTTTTATAATTAATTTTTAAATTTTGTCCTTTTCAACTATTTCATTCTTTGTTCTTTCATATCTTCTATTTCTGAAGTGGTTATTTTAAAGAGATGAATTTTTAACTAAGATTAGTTCTGTGAAATGTTTCATCATAACTTTCAAATGTTTTGAGGCAGTATTTTTCTGATTATTGAGCTCATCTGCCATTTTTCTTTCTACTGTATCCTCATACAAAGCTTTGCTAGTTTTTTATTGTTTGATCAACTATAAATATTTATTGAGCATCTGCTGTGTACCAGGATTTAGGCACTGTGAGTATAGCAGTGAACAAAATCAGACCCTGCTTTAATGAAGCTTTCATTCTGTTGGAGGGGAGATGCGTGACGACTATATGCTTTAGGTGATGATAAACATGAAAACAGAATAAGGAGATACAGTGACATTACTAGAATAAGTGAGGGGCAGCAGAGGGTTACAAGGTGAATTCAAAAAGATAATAGGAATAAGATCATAAGAGCATGAGATAAACTTTGGTTTTTATTCTTAGGAAAATGAGAAGACCTTGGAGAATTCTATTATTAGAGCAATATGATCTAATTAATATGGGTTAAGATGCTATATTTTTAAGTACTATAGTTTAAAAGGTTGGGGGGAAATTTAGTTGGGAAGCCAACTAAACAGGCAGCACAGTTACAGCATTACAGCAACATTCTAGGTGTGCACAAAGGTTTGGACTAAAGTGGGAATGGTGGGAATAGTGAGACATCAATTGTAGATAAGTTTTGGAAGTAGAGCCAACAGAATTTGCTAATATTGGAATGTAGCGTGTGAGAGGAGTCAAGAATGAGCTCTTGGGAGAGGGGAACTGCCATGCACATAGATGGACCCATCTCCCCTGGCCCCCAATATTTGGGATTGAACAAGGCCTTGTGCATGTTAGGCAAGTGATCTACCACTAAGCTACATCCCTAGCCCTTTTTGTTTTAAAATATTTTTTTTAATTGTTGATGAGCCTTTATTTATATGCATTGCTGAGAATCAAACCCAGTGCCTCATGATGAGGGGCAAGCACTCTACCACTCAGCCCCAGCCCTTTTTACTTTGAGACAGGATCTCACTAAACTGCTTGGGCTGTGTTGAACTTGCAATCCTCCTGCCTTAGCCTCCAAGTAGATGAGACCACAGATGTGCACCATTGTGCCAAGTGTCTGTGGGGATTTCATGTTGGGAAAGGGTCAGGCTAGCAGAACTTTCTTTCATGATTTAAGGTTGTGTGTATGAACCAATGCAGAGCAGATGTTATAGGATTGTTCCAAATGCAATGTCTTTTTGTCCCTGACACTTCAATAGACAGATCCTGCAAACAGCTTCACTTTGAAGCACTCTGAGCGGCTTACTGAGGTCCTGCAGAAGCAGTCATCCTCCTCATACTCTGATATTCACTACCTTTCCAACTCTGACCATTTTAGAGTGAAGAGTTTCAGATGTCTCCTAGTTGTGTTGAAACTGGAGTCTGCACTTCTGTTTCTCATTCTGCTTGATGCTTTTGGGTGGTTTCCAAGGGAAGAGAGAAATGACTTCACTCTTCTGTCTCCAAACTGGAAGTACACATTAAGTTTTACACCCAAATTACTATGGCTCAAACCCTGTTGACTTACTTTCTGACTCTTCAATTCCCCATCCTACTCTCAGAAAGCACCCCACAATTATTTCTGGCACAGGAAAAAAGAAGGAATATCTCCTGAGAGTGTTCTCCACAAAGTATGTCCCTACCATTACCAAACAATGCTTTCCCTGTTCTCTCAACTCTGGACTGCTGTTCACTGCCCTCAACACTGCTTCAAGAAGCCAAACTTCTACCTCTGGAAAGGGGCTCTTATGCTGTTCCCAAAGCCAGGATGTTGCCTCCAAAGACTGAATTCCATACAGTGTCATTTTGCCTGCCAATCTCTTCAAGCTACATGAAACCATTCCCAAAAGGATTGTTATACTGAAAACAAAAGATCGGTTCTGAGGTTCACATAGTTAACACATGAAACTCAGTTTTGAACTTCCAAATAACCTAAGTCCACTGGTGATATGCTTTATCAAGCATACTATTTCTTGGTATTAAGTGTTAGGCAAAATTTATCATGTAGGTCTTTCTTGTCTGGAGTATATTATCTTTAGACCAGTGGTTCTCAACCAGGAGTGATTTTTGCCCCCTCTCTAATAGGAACATTTGGCAATGTCTGGAGTTTT